CTGCAAGAAGCCGCCTGTCTGTGTGGGGACAAGTTTGGTGCTGAGCAGCGCACTTCACTTGAAGGAGCACATGGAGGTCTCTTTGCTCTCCTGCTCAAAGTAGGGCCAACTTAGTCAGACAAGGTGTTGCAGGGCCCTGCCTGTTTCCGCAGCCCCTCTGGAGCCAATGCAGTGTTTAGCCACTCTCAAAGTCACCTTTCTTCTCTTTTAGACCTGGCTGGTATTTCTGGAAGGATCTGACTCCATATTCTCTATGTTCCCCCATGATAAAATTGAAGAGAGTGATTTTAATCCCCCATATGCCCCAACTTAGCCTTCCCTAGGCTGACCCAGCCCAGCTCTCTCAGCCTGGCTCCAGAGCAGAGCTGCTCCAGCCCTTAGGGCCCTTGGCCATCTTCATAGCCTCCTCTGGACTTGTTTGAGCAGTTCCATGTCCCTCTTGTGTTTGGGGCCCCAGCACCTCTTTTCAGCATCTCTTTTACACTGAGGTACCAAGCCTAGGCCCCATATCCTGGTGTGGTCTCCCAAGTGCAGAAGAGAGGGGAGTCATCACTCCCCTCACGCTGCTGGTGGAGCACAGCTGGATGTGCAGTTGGCTGGGCAATGTTTAACACACAAGACATACATTTCTTGTCTTCTCCCTGCCCTTTGGTAGCGGTGCCTGGACTTCTGAATGAGAAATTGTGTTGGTGAGATTGAGTGAATACAGAGAAAAACCAGAGCCAGATGCCTCTTATTACACAATATTGTCCTGGCCACTCGTCACAAGCTCATGGCTTCATTCAGGTTGCCCAGGAACAAAAAGCTCCTTGTGAGGAGCCCCAGTACAGTAACAAGCTGGCTTTAAGAGCTGCCTTTGCCTTGATTGGTTCAAGTGATATTGTAAGTTAGACTCCTCTGAATTGCCTTTTGGAAGAGCTGATTGCATCTGGAGACTGGGAAGCTGAGTCTCCTGATTCACAAAGCTGAAGCTAGGTAGTGTGAACATGCCCTAGGAAGCCACATTGCCAAAGCTTTGTTGGGAGAGAAGAAAGACCACTTCCCTGCCATTGATGTGGTAATGGCCTCCAGAACACTGAAGTGTGGCTCTGTCGGTGACGCACTGATTGCTATCTGAAAGTCAGTCTTCTGGGATATGAATGGAGCCTATTTTGTTCTTCAGTTCATAAATTAGTGCATCTGAGCAGGCAGTGCCTGTGAGAGCAGCTCCAGTGATGAGCAGGCACGGCTTTCTCATGCTTCTCTTTATGCATTGGCTGTGGGTGAGTGGCTTTCACAAGAAACCCTTGTGAAGTTGGCTAAAATTGGCGTCTCTTATCCAAGTGCTGCCCATGTAGGATATCGACAAGTCAGGATCCCCCTTCTGGCATGGAACAGGCTATGACCCTGGTCTGAGCTGGCGCAAAGAGTCCCAGCTCTGATCTCATGCACAAAGGACTTCCCTTCAATGACATACTAATGGTGATGTGCTACTGCAGCATCTCTCCATGGAGTGCAAATGATGTGAACATCAAAACAGAAATCTCAAGCACAAATAACATAAAGTAGCGATGAAATTGGAGGTTGGAACTGGATGATCTAAAGGTCCTTTCTGTCCCAAATCATTCTATAATTCTATGAAATCCAGGAGTCTTTAAACAGAGGTGTCACCACAGTGAGTTTAAAAATGCTGTTAGTGTCCTCCAGTGCTTACAGTGGTTTTGTCCTTCCAAAGGCCAGGTTCCTTTCCCCTTTGAAAGTTGCTGGCTCTGAAGTATTCTGCTTGACATTTTCTCAGCGCTAACAGGATTTTTTTGTTGTTGTTGATTCTGGAAGCACTTGAAAACAGGGGAAATTGGCCAAGACATTCAAAACTTAAATGAAAACCTGACTCTGCAAATAGCCAGTGTCACTGGTGTGAATAACTTCACTCTCTGGTAAAGGTTATTGAGGGAAAGCAGAGAGTTGTATCCATATCCAGCTTAACACATACAGGTAGAAGTAATCTCGGGTGGCTTTCAAAGGAGATACTGGCTATTGGATATATATATCCAAAATGATTGATAACAATGGTGGGATTGCTGATGCTGTGGGTTAAGATCAGGACATTCCTCAGCTCGCCCTGCACTGGTTGTTGTGAGCTTTGTGAAGCATTTGGCTGGGGAGGAACAGGATTTACGGGTAGGTAATCTGCAGCTTTCATTTGGGGAAGCTTTAATCATGGCTCATTGTTGATGTCAGGAGTTTTTGTGTGCACCTATGGATTAAAGAACATTCAGAGAGGGACGTAAGCAAGCCTCACATTAAATATCATCTTTTCCTGCTCAGAGCTGTCGCTGGTGGGATCAGAACAACTCTGCTGGTTTCCCCTTGAAAAGTGTCCATTTACTGACAACAAAACCCATGAAATGTCATCCCCAGTGAAACATTTCTCTCTGCATCTGTGCCCACATCTTCCGGGGCCAGAGTTTCCACATTCCTGCTGCTTGCAGAGCTGTTGCGGTGGAAGCCTTTTCCCTTTAGAGCAGTGTTGGGGTTTTTGTCAGTAAAAACCAAACAGAGCTATTTTCCATTTCAGAACGCAAGATGGAATATCTCTGGAGAGGGTGACCTTCTGTCCAGAGCTGGATTTGTAGCTGAAAGAATAAATCTGTTATCATTAAAATTAAAAAGAGAAAAAAATAGCAGTCTGCACCTCATTGTTGCCAGGACTGAGCTGCGAGGATGAGATTTATGAAGCATTTACTCAGGGTGAACTGAAGAGAGATCCAACCCAAAGAGTTTGTGTTCTAGAAAAAAGGCAGAGAGACAATAGGATGGACACGGGGGAAGCTACAAGAGGGAATTGCTCTGGGGTGTTAATAAGAAAATATGTTCTTTTGGGGAAGGACTCTGAGAAGTGGCTTGGCAGGCGCAGCAGGAGTGGTTCAAAGCCCCTTCATGTGTTAGGTGCTTGGCTGAGTTCAGCTGCGTGAGGCAGAAATGATAGAGATGCACATGTATGAGCACTGGCATGGCCAGGAGGAGAGATTCAGGAGGAAATGCTTTGTTACCATGAGAGCTTGTCCTGCCCTGCTCTCCCCCTTCCCTCCATTCCCTCTCCTGCTTCTCTCCCCACAGTTGAGCCTCTGCTTAACTGCTGGACCCCCGTCCCGCTGACACCAGCTCCTTGCTGAGCCACCGGCTTCTTAGGAGCAGCAGTAACAGTATTCCCCCCCCCCCCCCCCCATATCCCTGAGAAGAAATGTGGTTTGGCATTTGGCATAGGCACAGGGGTGCAGATTCACGCTGAGGCTGCAGTTTTTAGGACCAAGCTGGCTTCTCCTTGCACTCCCAGGGATGCTGGATTTCACCATGGCTTTTCTTCCAAGCCTCTACCCCCTCCGGAGTCTCTCTGGGGTGGGTCATTCCTTTTGTGCTTTCTTTTTTCCTTCCCTTTCCCCTGGGGGCCATCAGCAGGTTTGTTTCCCGATCCCTGTGCAGGGTGTCTGCTTTGAAGACAGCTTCTCACCTACTGGTTACTGAAGGAATGTGAGGAATGAGGCCCCGTGGCCCCAGCCTCCCACCCAGCCCGCCTGTGTTTGTACACGCAGGGAGGAAGAGGAAGGTGCCTGGGGTCCCTGGGAGCAGCCTCTGCCCTGCAAGCACTGCATGGTGGCAGTGAAGGAGGGAGAGGGGGCAGGGGCATATGTGGAGGGTGGGGATGGACTTTCAGTGCATATCTGAGCATTTTACCACACTGAAAAATGCTCGGTGGTGCCTGCAGCAATACAGTCATATCGTTACATATCCATCCACATCCTGATCCCCATGCGGCTTCAACTTGTTTTGGCAATTAAGCGTTCTTGGCGATACGGACTTCCAAGGTAGATCCATGTGTAAATCACTCTGGTGAGAGGAGTGAATTGCTCAGCTGGCTGAGGGGCTCTGGGACAAGCACAAACACAGGCTGGGGGAGACTGGATGCACTTCAGTGTGCCCTTGAGCCCCGAGCCCTTCATGTGTGCTGGGCTGCACCCCCAGAGTGTGAGCAGCAGCTCAGGGAGGGGATCCTGCCCCTCTGCTGTGCTCTGGGGAGACCCCCCCTGCAGCCCTGATCCAGCTCTGGGGCAGCAGCACAAGAGGGACGTGGAGCTGTTGGAGCGAGTGCAGAGGAGGCCATGGAGATGCTGCGAGGGCTGGAGCAGCTCTGCTCTGGAGCCAGGCTGAGAGAGCTGGGCTGGGGCAGCCTGGAGAAGAGAAGGCTCCTGAAGGGGAGACCTGAGAGCAGCTCCAGTGCCTGAAGGGGCTGCAGGAAAGCTGGAGAGGGGCTTGGGACAAGGGATGTAGGGACAGGCCAAGGGGAATGGCTTTAACCTGCCCGAGGGGAGACTGAGATGAGCTCTTAGGCAGAAGCTCTTCCCTGTGAGGGTGCTGAGGCGCTGGCACAGGGTGCCCAGAGAAGCTGTGGCTGCCCCATCCCTGGCAGTGTTCAAGGCCAGGTTGGACACAGGGGCTTGGAGCAAGCTGCTCTAGTGGAAGGTGTCCCTGCCCGTGGCAGGGGTTGGAGCTGGATCAGCTTTAAGGTCCCTTCCAATCCAAACCAGGCTGGGATTGTATGAATTGCCTGCATAATGAGCCCAAAACCCTTTACTGTCTGGTTAGTCACTGGTTCTGATTTTGCTTAATATAATTAGCATCTGAGCAAATAAAATGCTAATCATCGGTCACATGGAATAGTATTGCTTTGCCCTTGCTTCTCTGTGCCACACCTGCAAAGTGGTGTTCCTGAGCAAATAGCTGTGCTGACAAGGGGTCCCAGGTACCCTGATGAGCTCTCAGTTAAAGTTTCTGCTATTCCTCTCTTGACAGATAAGTACAGCACTAACTGGGTTTGTACAACGCCACCCCTGCAGTGGGGGGATTCTTGTTCCTTCCTGCACTAGCCCAGGACCCCTGGGCAAGCTTTCTTCTTGGGGGTTGAAACACCCATCGTGGAAATTGCTCTGACAGTCTTCCTTCTCCCTTGCTTCCCCTTTCAGAGCACAGTTGGAGAGAATCGATGGCTTCAAGGACACCTGATACAGCTGCTCACCAGTTACTGTGATCTGAGCACAGCAGCAAGATGTGCCCAACGCTGCAATTTGCCCAGGGAGATGCTGCCTTGCAGAGTGGCTGATGAGCTTCAAAAGCTTCAGATCCAAGAGAGGTAAATACTCTGTTTCGTGCCTTTTCCATGTGGACCGCTTGTTTGGACTGCATGTTTGCTTGAAGTAACCTGCCATAATGTTTCCTTGGGGAGATGATTTTGCAGAATCTTCCTCCATTTACTCAGATCACATCTGAGCCACGTGCATGCTGCGTTTGCTTCTCATCAGCCTGGAAATGGCTGTGAAGGTACGTTTTAAACTCACTCCTGAGTACTTAGCTGTATGAGATTGCTATGTGCTGTAGGGGGGTCTTCAGATATCCTCTGCCAGATCAACAGTGCAAATGATGTGTGTAGTACCTGAGTATCCGTCTATTCTACTGAGCTGATTACGCGTCTGTCATAGCTTTCTATACTCTCTGATCCCCACTGTACTGTGATCTGTTTTAATGCCTTTTAGGAGACTTATAACCAAGGAAATCATTTTGAAGTTCCTTAGATTTTTCTAATGCACTTATTTTCTCCCTCCTTTGACAGCTCAGAAGCCATTTTTCATCCCAGTCTGTAATTTTTGTTTCATCCAAAGCTTTTAGAAGTAATGGGAATTTTTGACATGTGGGGTCAGATCCCCAAAGAGTTGCATTAATTGAATTTGGGGTAGTAACAGACTCACTGGCACAAAGCTGCCAAGTGAACTTAAGAAGCCCTTAGCCCCCTGATTAGCCTCTGTCCCCTTTTCTTCCTCTATTGCAACCCCAATAACTCAGTGCCATGGCTCCTCTCCTGCCCTGGGACCCCCATGTTGTGTGCAGCGCATCAGCCTGCAGTAGCTGCAGTTCCTTCCCTGATGGGAGCTTCGTCCTGGGGCATGACCTGAAGCAACAGTACAAAGGTAGAGGTATAAAAGGGGATTGGAAACTCCTTATATTGAGAAGGGTTCTTACAACTCCTTGATTTCAAGTGCACAGAACTATGCAAACAGCCCCAGTCAGGGATTTCTGTGAACCTGCTGGTATAGGAGGAGCAGAGGGGAAGGATGGAGGGAAGAGGGTGGCCAGGTTCCATGCTGTGCGGAGACAAAGCTGTACGAAATTGGAAGGAGACTGCAAGTGTAGGAAGGCACATACAAGCCACCTAAAGTGCTGGGAGCGGTGTCTGATACCCCCAGCACACCAGAGCTGGAGAAGTAGCAGGGCTTTGTAGTTTTGGTTCTGGGTCTTCTGTGCTGTGTCTCTTTGAGAAAACAGCCAAGATTTCCATGGACCAATATCCCAGGCAGTTGCTCAGCTCTGCTACAGGGAGGAAGCAAAGCCGTGTGTGAAAAAAGGTCTCAATGGAAGCGATTTGCTGAGCCCCAGTAATTCACATTTACACTCACGTGAGTGGTGGTGTATCTCCATGCTTTGGTGACTCTGTCCATGAGGTGTTTAAGCAGATTGTTCAGATAGCCACATTTGGCACCCTTTTTTAACCTTTTATTTTCCCTTCAGAAAGGCCTGCACATCTGCAGGCTGCTGAAGCCTCGGGGAGCTGCAGAGCTTGCAGATGGTGCCACATGAGGGTCATAGGATAGTTATGGTTAGAAAGGGCCTTAAGATCATGCAGTTCCAACCCCCCTGCCATGGGCAGGGACACCTCACACTAAACCATGGCACCCAAGGCTCTGTCCAACCTGGCCTTGAACACTGCCAGGGATGGGGCAGCCACAGCTTCTCTGGGCACCCTGTGCCAGCGCCTCAGCACCCTCCCAGGGAAGAGCTTCTGCCTAAGAGCTCATCTCAGTCTCCACTTTTTCAGACTTGGCACCATTGCTGAGATCTCTCTTTCACCCTCACTGGTGGAATGTGTTGGGACTTTTTTAGCCTGGATATTGGCATTTCAAGTTCAGAAGCCAGGTGAGATTAGGGGAAAGTTTGTGGGAAATCCTTGACCACTCCCATGAGGTAACTATTTACTACTCTGTGCAAGCTGATAGCCCGTATCTTTAGCATCCTGCAAACATAGCCCTTGAAACCTGTAATACAAGGGAGTAACTTCCTATGTGGAGCTGAACTTCTCAATGTATATGGTTGAAATCTGAACCTGATTTACACTTGGCTGTGTGTCCAGGAGCAGTTGATGAAGACACCATCCATTGCCTGTTTGGGGAGGAATAAAGCCAGCAGGCAGATGGTGGTCAGGGCTCCCTGGGCAACAAGTTGGACGCTTTAAGCCCTGTGCTCTTGGTGTGAGAGCAGAAAGTGTTCCTCTTGCCATATCTGTTGCATGAGTTGCATGCCCATGCCCATGTCCATGACCATGCTCATCTCCTGCCTCAGGTAGTCTGGGGCTTTCCCCTGTTCCTGCAGAACGTGCAGTTGAATAAGATGATTTGGACGCTTCCTTTACTTTATGTTCTTAGTGCAAAACTTTCCTACTTGTGTCATATGCCAGAATTACAAACTCCAGCCAGCAGTTAGGACCTGTCACTGGCTGCCTGCTTAACACCAATGTCTCACTAGGGGACAAGGAGACCATTTTAAGATGACCAAGGCTGAGACTGAGTAGGTTACCTCCTCTAACAGGTTCACATCAGGTTTGCTGCCTTCAAAATCACAGCAAATTTCCTTCTTCTGGAAGAGCTGCAAAAACTGCATCTTTCATAAGTAGAAATTGTAATTTTTAAGCATAAATTTGACTGATCTGGATTACACAGAAGGTGGATGAGACAACAGTGTATTATTATTGTTTAATGCTGATGATTCTGGGAGGGTCTCACAGATGGCCTTGAAGAGTTTGTGTGCTGAGCTTCATGGATCTGATCTTTCCATAATGTAGATCTGCACTGGTTTGTGTTCAAGCCCCGTGTAACCTCAGGAAATGTGACACAGATGTAATCACACTCGAAACACCATCTGGAAAGCCCACTGCTGCAGATAGATGGACATGGCTTTCTTGGAGCACAGGAAACTCTTGTGTGTCTAGGACGTGCTTCTGCTTTGCTCTGGTGCGCTGCTGGTGCTGCCCTCTTCCTCCCTCCTAAAGCTGCACCAACCACCAGCTGGTAACCACAAGGGTTTTGCACGAGGGGTAATCCCTCAAAACATGAAGGGCTGGTTAGCAGGAGTGTGATTTAGCCACAGACTGTACATCTAGAAGGATAAAAACCGTCACATCATCCCTGTGCCTTGGGAATCCTGTGTTGTGTGGGTGGATTGGAGGCATGCGGACGGGGATGTGCTCTGCTGCTCACGAGGAGCTGTGCTGGATGGGTAAATCCCTTTTACTCATCCCGTCCTACACCTGCTGTAATAGCTGTTGCCAAGTCAGCAGAGCCATGGAACCCAGTCACACTGCCAGCCTTATCTGTTGAGCTAACAAAGCAGCAGGTTCCCAGAGAGGATGTTCACATTGCAGAGAACAAGGTGGTACCAGCATATAAATGACATCAGCTCTGCCACTGCTCACACCACGTGTGGCTCCTGATCTCTGCAGGTGAGGATATTGCTGGAGACCCGAGGCTGCACCCCTTCATTAAATACCTTACACAAATATTGACTTCCCCATGCACACAAACCCCCAGGAAAGAGTGTTTGTACAGTGGAAGCTGCTGTGCTACAGAATTAGTCACACAGGCCCCTAAACAGAAGGTTAGTAAACAGTTCCTCAACTAATAAACTGTTTCAAATCTTTATGGGAAAGAGACTATCCAGGAATCTGTGACATGTCCAAAATAGCTGGATATTTGTCATTCATTTCTTCCTGTGATTGCATCATGTGGCTGAGGCACCCCAGCAGTGTGCTGACCTCCCAGCTCCAGGTCCCCTGCAAGAGACTCTGCCCCACTCTGGAAAGAAAACGTGCTGTGTAAGATCCTGCCATAGGAAGTCAGTTAGCTCGTGTCTGCGTCTCCCAGCATTCCTGGGGTATCCATCACAGATACTGGGTTTCTCTGCATGGTGCCATCTGAAAGCTAAGTGCAGGGTGCAGCACAGGCTCACTCTGGGGCTGCCTTCCTCTAAATGTAGGTGGGTTTGAAACTGTTTCTGAGCTTTTCTCATTTCATCCCTGTGCAATGCAGGACAAATGTTCTTGTGCAGCCTTTGTGGACATTTCACAGGGAAGGGGATGGAGGAGATGCCGGATGGCATCAGGGAGATCGTGAAGCCTTCCCAGTCTGTTGCACTGTGAAACGATGAGGCAGATTCACTCATTCCTAGCTGGCAGTGACCTTGGTGTGGAGCAGTGTGAGAGACTTATGGAGGCAGTTTGTGCTGTGGGGAAGTGTGAAGCTCCCATTTGGACAGAGCACTGATCAGACCTGACTTTGTTCTGTTACATTGTGGGAGCCAGCAGACTTCCATGTTAACCTCTATGGCAAAAAGCAGTAAATCTAGAATGTGTTACCTTTGGATGTGGAAAGAGCTGCCCAACTTTGTCATCCATTGAGTCAGTTCTGGGAAGCAGAGCTGAGCACTGAAGACAGGGCTGGGGACTTGGGCTCCAGCAAGTATCTGGGGCTGGGGGCTCTCTGCAGTGGGCACAGTGCATGTGTGTGGTGAGATCTTGGGTTCAGAGCCATTGTGTGACAGGAACTGAGAGAGAGGATGAAAGAGACCGAGGTTGCAGGGGAAGTGAGGAAAGAGAGGGTGAGAGAGTTGAGTGCCATGGGGAAATGGAGGGCTAGGGGAGGAAATAAGGAGCTTAAGACTTCTGATGTTCCTCCAATCCAGGATTTCCTCTCATTACATGGCCTAAAGCTGTTGCATCTGATTCTGTGCAGAGTTGAAGAAGCCACAAAAGCAGATAATTATGAAGAGAGTAAGAAGAAGGATTATTACCAACTTCCTATTCCACGGGCAAATATTCACTTCCTGCAGACATGGGAAGAGATGCTGCAGTGCTGGGAAAAGGTGCTGCAGGTGAGTGTTACTCTGGTATTTACTTTGCAGGGTCAAGGAGCAGAAACTCCACAGCAGGCTGGGACACAGGGTTGGATGTGGGCCACTGGCATGAAATGTCTCCCTCCTCAAGTCAAGAACAGCTGCTTCCCTTAGGCTTGTCCAATTTGGGCAACACATTGGGAATTGTTGTGCCAGGAAAGGTCCCTGCAGGGGTAACTTGGAAAGTTATGGCAGTGCTATGGAAGTTACTTGTCTCTGTAGAAGTCTGCACCCTAGCAAAGAGCTGCAGTTGTTGGAAAGGAGCGGCTCATGTTCTGGACAAGGATTATCCAGGCTGCTTTCAAACTTAAACAAGGGATGTTTAGGTTGGCTATGAGGAAGACATTCTTCCCTGGGAGGGTGCTGAGGCGCTGGCACAGGGTGCCCAGAGAAGCTGTGGCTGCCCCATCCCTGGCAGTGTTCAAGGCCAGGTTGGACACAGGGGCTTGGAGCAAGCTGCTCTAGTGGAAGGGGTCCCTGCCTGTGGTGGAGGGTTGGAGCTGGATGAGCTTTAAGGTCCTTTCCAACACAAAGGAGTCTGGGATTCTAAGTGTACAGTCCCTACGTGAAGAAGGCTTTTGTCTGTGTTGCAGCCCGCCCAGGTTGTTGGCATTGACATGGAGTGCAGGCCTACTTTCGGCATGGTTGGGAAGCCCCGTGTCTCCCTCCTTCAGATCGCTCTGAAGGATGAGGTGTTCCTGCTTGACCTGCCCCGGCTCTTCCAGCAAGCTGAGGTGGATGGTGAGACGGAGAAGCTTCCCCATTTCATCCAAAAGCTCTTTTCAGATGCATCCATCACTAAACTAGGTAATGTGCTTCTCTTCCCCCCACTTCAGGTCTTAATATCCAGCTTATTTTATACAATTCCTAGATCCTCTTGGATTTGTCATTCTCTAAATTCTCTTATCATGGAACCAGCTTTTGTAACCCTGGGTATTCAAATACTGCCATGCCAGAAAGCAGGGGATTGATAGAAATGTCTTCCCATTTCAGGTCAGACCCCAGATTTCTGATGTAATAGAATCCCCCCTCAGCCTTGGGATAGTCTTAGTTCTACACTTAAACCCCGACTTGCACCTAACCTCCAGTGGTCTAAGGATGTCTGCCATCCAGAGCTTTCTGGATTTGCTGGCCCTGTCCCAAAGCTGCTGTGCTGGACACCAGAGCTCTCCAGTTTACCATACCTGGCTTTAGAGCCTGTTTGGAGGCTTTTGGCAGGAGTTGTTAAATCGGGAGTTCAAGGGCAAATTCCAAACTGCCTTTCACTGACACAGCAGATTGCAAGTAAGTTGACCTTAAACTCCACATTCTTCGTCCACCTCTTCTGTCCCAGTCTTCATCTGCAAGTTCTCTTAGGAGCAGGAGCGTCAGGAGCCTCCCTTGCTCCCTGTCTGGACAGTCTTTTCACCAGTTCATACAGATATTGTCAGCATTGTGGCTCTGAACGAGAAAAAGCTTCCGTGCATCAGCCCCACGATCTGGGTTTTCTGACCTGTGTGATTTGGGCTTTTCTTTCCTCCAGGTTATGGGATGTCTGGAGACCTTAGCAACCTTGCAGCCACGTGGTCTGCTTTGAAAGACACAGATAAGAAAGCCCAGGGAGTGGTGGACCTACTCACAGTGGACAAACGAGTAAGGATGAACACATGAAGATATGGAGAGCTGTGTCTGCTGCATTTGCTTGTAGATAACTGTCATGAATTCACAGCATTGCGTTTTTGTATCCTGTGTTGGCAGGGACATGCCTAATGAGAAAACAGACCTTTTCCACTGTGATGTTGAGGGTAGTGTGATTCTGTAAAAAGACAAGCATTTAGTTTTCAGCTAAAAAGTTAGAGCTTGATATGCTCATAACTGTTTCATAGCCTTTGTAAAAGCTCGGAAAGAGCAATTGAAATGGAGACATAGCTCCATTCAGGTAGGGGATGGTGGCTGAGCCCAAGTCGTAAACAGCAAATTCCTGTAGGCATTCTGGTATCCAAGAGCATGCAGTATTGGAGCAGATGTTTTGGAGTTAATGCTCGGAGGAGGGCTGCTGGTAAATTCAGCACAGGGATTTCTGCTCTGGGGTTGCACACAGTCTGTAACAGTCTGCATAAATATGAAGTTCAACCATTTTCGTGGGTGAAATGTACAGAGTGTGCTGAAGGCTGTGGGTTGGGGCGAATCCAGATCTTTGGGACTGATAGTTTAACCTGGGAAGTGCTGCAGGGTCTGAGGTACCTGCCAACAGCCACTGGCTCAGTTTAATCTGATACATGGCCGCCACAGAAGGGCAGTTGCCCGCTGTGTCACAGGAATGCCTTTTCTCACTGGAACTAGGAGGACAAAGGTGCTGAACTACTGCTGCTATTCTCTTAGTGAATCGGTGCCCAACGGCCTCCAGCGCTGCTGAGCACCCTGCAGACCTCTGACAAGTCCCAGCCACAGCTCCACTCTGCTGTGGTTGCTCTGATGCAGTGCTCTACAACAGTGCACTTCTTTTCCCTTCCTTGGCTATGAAACTGATTTCTTTCCAGCATGTGTTTGTTAAACAAATAACCAGACGCCGTATATATCTAATGCCATCCCAGCCCTTGTCTGAGACAAGGGATTCAATATGCCAGGCAAGAGATAAAGATGATAGGGTTGCTGCATGGCCCCACCCACTGGAACAGGAGATGTTGTAGAAGTTGGTTTCTAACCAGGTGGTTTCTGTTTTTTCCTTCCCATCAGCTGCAGAAGCGCTCCATTGACTGGAAGAAGGGTGGCCAGGAGGTCGATGTCCTGTCCCTGGGGCAGAGCAATGAGGGGAGAGGAGTCAAGCAGCCAGAGAAAGGACTCAGCCTCTTGGTGCAATATGTGCTGGGGAAACCGCTAGATAAAACAGAGCAACTTTCTAACTGGGAGAAACGGCCTCTCCGGGAGGAGCAGATCCTCTATGCAGGTCTGGTCACTGAGCGTGGCAAGGTGCTGCAGATTGCCTGTTACAGGCTGGGTTGTTCTCTGTCACCGGGAAAATTGTTCAGTAGCAAATGAAGAAAGTGGCTTTGCAGATTAGCTCCTGCTCAGAGAAGCCAGCACGTGTTACGCTTGTCCTTTGCGGACATGGCTTTGGTGGTTGATGTTTAAACTGTCCAGTGATTCATTATTTCCCTTATAAAAGAATTCCTGTGCTTTGCAGATTTTGTCTGATGAAACATCACCTCAGTGGAAACTCCTCTCAGTAACTGAAAGGAAGAAAGTCCACTTCCTTCTGCCTCATTACACAGCCTTTCTGGGGAACAAGTGCTGTGTTCATTTGTCACAGTGAAGTGCTTGTTAGAGCAGTTAAAAATGGGTAGACATGGTGTCAGAAACTGCAGCACAGCCTTCGTACTGTGGAGGGACCAGTGGAGTTTATTGCTGATTACCCCAGGGCCACAAGGCTGGGTCTCAGTCTTTTCCTGAGGCATCAAAGGACAGTCTAGTGGAGTGAACCAGCCCTGTGTTCAGTTCAGCTGTCCTTGAAGCTGACACAGTTCCCACAAAAGTTAATCACCAGGACTCGTCAAACTGGCTTGGAGACTTAGACAGTTCCCGTTGCAAGGAACAGGAGCCGCATGGCAGCGCGTGTGGGCAGGGGATTGCAAACAGCTCGGTTATTACTTTGTCAGATATTGCATCTAAGGGGAAGTTACCTTCCCAGAGCTGGGATGCGGTAATAAACCGTGGGCAAGCCGCTGCTCAGGAACAATGGAGAGTAAAATGGCTTGGCTGAAGCTGTCTGAGGTGGTTGGAACAGGCACACTACAGTTTACATTGCCTTAGAGCCAGAGACAGCAGTGCCTTTTTGGGCTCCTCCACCTTGACTCTGTGGTGGTGTTAGGCTGTGATGCTCACTACATCAGTGAAGGAGTGCAGAGGATGACATTAGTTAAGTTGGAGCTTCACAGGTGGTTTGTGCTGCATGTACAAAGGTGAGGGGTGCTCCTTGCATCAGGAAAGATGCTGAGGTTCACATTCTTTATCTTCAGCTTCAGATGCCTACTGTTTGCTGGAGATCTATGAGAAACTCTGTAAGGATCCAGAGAGCTTTGGGCTGAGCTCAGACCTGACAGAGAGTCTGGTGGGAAAGGAGATCATAAAACCCAAGGCAAAGAAGCAGCTGAATAAACAAGAGGCACTGTCACCTTCTGGACAGGTTTGTAAACATCTTCAAAGAGCTGCATGTTGCTCAAGACCCCTGCAAATCATATGTTGCCTTGTCTCTCAGTCATGCCATTAGCTATGCATGGCATGCCTGTTTGCTGTCTGTTCTCAGGACTATTGCAGCAAAGCTCTTCCTTACCCCTCCCTGCACTGCCAAGATGTGCTTTCTCCTCTGCGTGCCTTGGTTCAGCTCTCCTGCAATTTCAGGGTCATTTGTCTTCTCAAAAGCTCAGTGCAGGTCTGTGTGGCAGAGTCCAGCTAACCTTGCTGGTAGAAATGTTCCTTCTATGTTTCCCCAGTGGTGTGGGTTTGAATTCTGTTCAAGTGCTGCATTCCTTACTTTTGTTTTTAACTGAGCTACACCTTGGTTTTCCTTTGGGAATGCCTCCTTTATTGTGCCTGCAAAGTTAAAACCAAGCTCCATCAAAAAAGCCTTTCTGTTGATGGCTTGTCTGTGTCTCCCCGCTCACCACCATGTACTCCATGCCTGGCTTCCCCTGCAATGTGTTTTGTGGCAGAGCTTTAAAACTCCACAGGTCATAACTTGGAGCTGGGTGACTGTTTAAATATCTTGGAATGTGACTGGTCCCTGTAGGGTTTTACTTTTAAAATGGTCCCATCTGGTTGCTTATGCATCTATGAAAACATCAGCAGAAAACCAGTGTAATTTATTACCTGAGAAGACTCTCTATGGCTGTGTATCCTTCTGGATAGTCCCAAATGCATGTTTAGCTCCTGAAGTCAATGGCACCTTCCATGGTTGGACTGAGAGGCTGTTGATTATAGCCACCTTTTCAGGGTCCTCCTTATCAAGTGTGTGTAAATGGACAGTATGCCATTAGTCTTAGGCAGTAAAACACAAAGCTGCCCGGTAGTTTGCTAAGTGCTCTGTTCATGGGAATGTTGTATGTTACAACAAATCTGACTGGCTGCTGCAGAGATGGGAAAAGTAAGTACTTCAGGCTTGAATTACCTTGTGAACTCACAGGTCATCTCTGTTCTGTACAGTCAGATTCACTAAGCAGGAGGTAACTGGTAAAACCTGGACTGGGACTCAAAGAGGCAGGTCCTTCTGACTCTGCATCCTGCACAGCTCCAAGCTCTTTCCCAGTGTTCCCTGCTCCACTGTCTGAAGTGAGGCTAATGACGCTTTTCTCCTTTATAAGCTTTTTGCTCTCTGCTGGCATGAAACATGAGAAAAAAAAAGCTACCTGGGCCATTGCTGGTCATTGAGTAAACATGCACTGACAGCCAGCTGCTGCTCCCTCCCATCTGCTACAACACAAGCAGCAGCACAGGGTTAGTGTCTTCCAGCTACCTTGGCATGGAATGGTCAGCTTGATCCCTTGTCACAGCACTCTGATGTCTCAGCTGCATCCACCAAGGTCCTTGCAGAAGTCTACCCAGTGCTGCAGAGCTTTGGATGTGCCAGCTTCTGGGAGGTGCAGCAGCACATTGGTAGAGCTCCTGCAGAGCCCATCTGCAATGCTGCAGGAACTCTCTGTTTTGAAAGACACAGTAGCCCTGCATAGATGGTGGCTGTGTCCTTCAGTCATTGCAGCTGATTCAAGTTCCTGGAGGCAAAAGCTGAACATTGGAGGTTCCTTAATGACTTCCCTTCTCCATGAATTTAGCTATTGTACTTCTGGGAGCCTCCCATCGACATATCCCACTGCAGGAACTCTCCCAGCAGCAGCCATTGGAAATAAAATAAACAGAATTCAGGCACTGCCCGTTTTTAATCTTCCGAAGGTAACAAAGCTGACGTGGTTGCTTTGTCTACCTGTTTGTCTGCCAGATCCCCTCCCCAGATCGTAACTTTGGCACATGCACATTAGTTGCAGTCTAATTCTATAGGGGAATAGGAGTCTTGAAGATGTGTTTCTGTGCACTGATGAAAATGAATGGCTGCGTAGGGCATAGAAGGCCAGGTTGGGATTTCTCCACTGGAAGGCTGCAGATCCTCGGGCTGTGTGGCTGGTGAATGAGGAGCGATTTCAGAATGCGCCCCATCATATGCTGCCTCCTGCCCAAGTGGTAGGTGAGCCGTGTAGAAGGGACATGAAGGAGGAAGGGGGAGTTTTGTAGATAGAGCATGGGGGGAAATTGTAATACAGGTGGAAGGGGGCAGTTGGATTTGCCATGGCAGGTGACTGTAGGGAAGCAACACACAAATGTATGGAAGGCAGCCTTCTGTTGTGTTCCTTATGAATCTCTGCCTTACTGTAGCAATGCCGAGGATCCAGAACGGAGACCCTGCATCGCCCTGCTCCCATCTCTCCAAAGGAGTTCAGTGTGGTCTGTGATAACATGCTGCAAGGCCTCGGGCGCTATCTTCGCTGCCTTGGTGTGGACGTCCGGATGCTGGAGAATGGCGATGACCATAGGAAGGCTGCTGAGGTTAGTCATGTCCATAGGGTATGTTTATAACTCCCACATGCACTCCCTGAAGAAGGCCTGCTGCTCACTGTGTAACGGCACTGGTTACTCACCCAAGCCCAACAGGCAGCGGGGTGGCAGGACATGCCAGCACATTCCTCCTGTGCCATGTTGAGACCAGGTCCTCTGGCTCAGTCCAAGAAGCTGTGCCACATGGCAGCTAGTGTTATCTAGTCCCTGCAGCAGTCTGGGGCCTTGGTTCTCCATTTCCAGGAGAGAGGAAGTGAGCAGAGAGTGCCGCAATCTCAAACCTTACTTGTTTCTGTTTCTCTGGGAGTTTGTGGCTGCCCCATCCCTGGCAGTGTTCAAGGCCAGGTTGGACACAGGGGCTTGGAGCAAGCTGCTCTAGTGGAAGGTGTCCCTGCCCATGGCAGGGGCTGAAGCTGGATGAGCTTTAAGGTCCCTGCCAACCCAAACCAGTCTCTGACTCTATGAAATGGCCGTATAACCTCCTAGCTGGCTACCAACTTGTGAGATGATTCAAAGCTGATCAGCCGCAACTTGCAATGAAGTATCTGGGAAGCGAGAAGTCTCTAACATATATGGGGACAATGAACATTGATCTGGACTCACGTAGCAGCTTTGACCCCCTGCCTTTTGGGGGAGAGGCACATGCTGCTTCATTTCAGACATATTTCTACTGTGCCAGAACTGGAGATATCCAGCCCACACAGTGTGTTGCTGTCAAATGCGCACAGATCACCTGTGCACCCTGGTGCACAGGATGTTTCCTCTTCAGATGTCTGCTTGGCCTGGATCCTGGGCAGGCTCTGACTTCTGCAGAAATAATTAATATCTCATCTCTGCCAGACTTGCACAAGTCATTTAAACAAACTCGTTCCCAGTGCCTGCCCCCAGAGCCCCAGCTCCGCTTCTCATCCTGATACCTTATCGTGCCACGGACAGGATGTTTTGCATTGCTTTCTCTATGGTGACCGGACAAACATCCTTTCACTATCAAAAGCCTTTGGAGTGTTACTGTATTGCAGAGCCTTTGATCTCTGCTTGGACAATCAAAGATAAAAATAGACCCCTCCCACCCTGCTTTGTATCTGTCTCATTCTGATTTAGTAGGAGTTGAATGTTGACCACCCTGTGCCCAAAGGCTTGTAAATGTTATTGCAAAGGCCAGGAGAAAGGTTTGGATCCTTGTCACTGAATACAAGAGAGATGGTTTGGGTGTTCTCTCACCAGTCTCAAACTAGTGTCACCAGGAACACGTAGTTGTGTACAGTGTCCATTCAAAGTCATTTCACTCAGATGACATGTCAGTCATGTTACACATCTCCGTGTGCCAAGAACTCCTGAATCGCCTGGCATTTGCTTCTTCTTGTTCTCACTCCTGTTGCTTCTTAAAGTGACTTCAAGTGTTGGTAAGCAGGTGGGTCTTGTCCTGCACCAAACTTAAAAGCCTGAGACATGTGCAGGCTGTGCTGGGGCAGCTATGGGTTTGTTTGGTGTTTTCCTATAGACCCTTGGGGAGGGCTTAGGGTAGTGGCCAGGCTGGCCCAGGCCTGGCTCCCTGCTGTGGGGCATGAAGGGAGGCCTCTCTTGAATCCTGCACTCTGTGCATCCTGCTGGTCCTCACCAGGGGCTTCTGACTCCATCCCAAAGTAAAGAATGTCTCCATCTGGTAAAGAATGTGGAGATTTGATCTCCTTTGCAGCATCCTTCAGTGTGTGCAGGTGCCATCACTGAGGTAAACCACCCTTTGCATTTGCACTTGTCCATACAAACGACTTGTTATTTCCAATTAATACTTTTCTTACAAGGCCCTGTAGGGCCAGGCCAAGGGGAATGGCTTTAACCTGCCTGAGGGGAGACTGAGATGAGCTCTTAGTCAGAAGCTCTTCCCTGTGAGGGTACTGAGCCCCTGGCACAGTGCTCTGCCCTTGTGTTTCCAGCCACATCTTCCAGCTTATCTTCCGCACACTCTTCTTTGTAGTGATTTTTATACCTATCTTTTGGGCTCTTCTAGATGGGTAATTGGAAGGAGGTAGGAAAGTTTCAGTGGGTGGTGGTCTTTTCTCTGCAGGTTTGCAGAATGAGGTAGAGCAGAGGGATGCTTCTCATGCTAACTTTAAAGGGTCGTACACCAGCCTGAGGTGACTACAATAGATCTTGCAATGTTGTACTTCAGGAGTAGAGCAGAAGCTTCTAAGAAATTTTTGGTAGTCTTCTGGGGCACTTGTTTGTAAGAGTTGAGTTGTGGGTTAATTTGTTTTATTTTTTTAATGGACTGTGCTCTTGGTCTTCAAAATCATCTTCATGCCTAAGAATTATTTGCACACTAAGGCAAACCTGGTGTCTTTTGAAGTGTGATAATAACCAAAAGGCTGGTAGAACTGGCTTCCTGCAGCTCCCATGGTGTAGAAGGTTCCCTTGCAAGATTATACCAATGCCCCCAAAGCTCCAGGTGACCCACAGGTTGGAGAGGAGAGCCAGGTTTGGATGGTTCTCAGGAGCAATGGGCACCTGGATCTAAATTGCCTTGAACTGGTTTGGAGCCACGAGAAACAAAGGGGACTTCTAATACTGCAGTGAACAGAGCTTCATGTAGTGGGGGAATCTGATCTCTGATCTTGTCTCAGTTTTGAATGTATTTTTCCATGGTTTTGTTGTAAACACCATTCTTCAGGTTTGCCAGTCCTTTTACCTCCCTTTCAGCCTGTGAATTCACAGAGGACAGACGAAGAACTCTTCTGCCTTTAAGATCAAGACTTTGCTTTTGATGTTTGGTCAGCAAGAGGATATCCTTCATTGGAGACCTTGATACAAATGGAATTTACATTAAGAAACAAAACTGGGCTGATGGTTTTGGTGTGGTGCTTAAGGACACATTAGGAAATCATGCAATAACTTTGTACAATTGATGGGTTTTGGGAATGCTGAAAAGAAGTCTGGGGTACCAGTAGTACAGCAAGTGCACTGCAGGGCTGTTTGGAGTGTGTTTAGTTATTAAGCTCTTGGTTTGCTCTCTGTTTTTAAAGAGCCTGAGATAACAGGTAGATGCTCCAGGGTTGGATTGAGGTTTGTGGTCCATTTCTCTGGTTGATCCTCATCTGAGTGCTTTTCCAAAAGCAAATGCTTTCTGTCTGCTCCCTTTCTGTGTGAACTGGGACCTTGCTGGCCTGGGCTCAGGGTCACTGCACTACCTCTGCCACTGCAAGTGGGGACACAGCTTTTCCTGCACTGCTGCCCTGCAAAGGAAGCAGTTTGCCTCTTCGAGGACATGTGGCATTGCCCAACAGGAGCTATACATGGGCTTGGGCAAACTTGGGCTGCTGTTTCATGAAGGCTTCACTGACCTTCAGTCAGGATCCTTCAGGGTATCATGAATCATTCTGCTGCTGGTGCTGGTTTTGAAACATCGGGTCCCTCTCTGCCCTCTCTCATCAGTCGTTGTCCTTCCAGGTCTCTCTTGTAGTAATTCATTGGAGTTCATTCATCTCTGCAAGATGAAAGTTGGCTGAACAGACAGGCATGTTAAGGGCTAAGTAATAATACCAAGCTATTAGGGAGTGCTTTCTATCCAGAAGGTCTAAGCCTTTTCCAGAGGAAGTTATTATCTTTGTAATAGTTTGTGAAACTGAGGCCAATGCCCTCTCTGCAGCACTTGGCATGGAGCACAAGGCCCTGACACCCATCCCAACGCGCTACTTAGGGCGTTCTTGGCCTTTTACTTGCATCTCAGAGCACAGATCTCCTGGCTGGGCCCAGCACTGCCTCCCACTGCTTCTGTCAGAAAAAAAAGAAGGAATCGTACCCTTTTCTCCAGCACGTATCCTCCGTGGTTTCAGTCAGATGTGTGCTATCACATGGCTGCTCTGGCTCTGCAGGCTTCTCCCAGTCGTTGTTCCAGAGGCAGAAAAACACGCTGGAAGAGTTATTGCTTTTCTCCTTTTTATTTGATGTTCTTTGCCTGTCTCTGCAGAGCCATTTAGATAAGGGGATTTATCAAGCTTGAACTAATTAACCCTGGATGCAGGAAGTCAGAATGGAGTGTTCCAGCTGTGAAATCCTCAGACTTACCCTGAGGCACACATGGGTCTGGAGGAATTTCACATCTCTTTTCCCTTGTCAGCAAGTCACTGTGCTGAACTTTTGCTGGTGCCTTACTGGACTTAATGTGTCATGAGGGTGGTTTGTTGGCAGGGTGTTCAGTAACCCAGACTGTGTGTAGGAGGATTCATGCTGCACAGGGTGTCTCTGCTGCCACTTCAGGGTTCCTGGGCTTGGAGACTTTTTCCTTTATGGAGGGTGAGGGTTCATTTTGAGAGAAATCCAGTAATTTTGCCTGTAGGAAGATGCTTTAGAAGTTGTTGCCAATCACTTTCTCAGTGCAGAACTGGCAGCCAAAGAGTGACTTCACCAAAAAGGGAGGGAAGCAGCTACCTGAAAGGTCAACCTAGGAAACAAGTTGTAGAATCAATCAGGTTGGAAAAGACCTTTAAGATCATCAAGTCCAACCGTTCCCTCAGGACTGCCTGGCACAGGGAGTTTGTGCTTTGGAGCCTTCTCCCCTTGTTTCATGTTGCCATAGATCCAGTGGCTCCCCATGACCCGGTTTAAGAACCTTGGTTTGTTTTCCCAGTGTTCTCTGGCTGAGCTGGTGGTGTCAGACTGTCTGGGAAATGGAGCAGGACTCTGCTCCCAGATGTGTCCTCCTGCCAGGGTTAAAGAACGATCCAGAGAGAGCATCTGAAATTCTGATCCACAAGAGAGACCTCCGTGACACACATCTGGAAACAGTGAAACATCCCAGGGCTTCCAACAGAATCCAAGCCAGAGAAGAGAAATAACCTCGTGCCTACCTTGAGGTGCCAATCTCTTGTCAGCACGAGCAGAGCTGAAGTACTGGTTCACATGGGAATCCTTCTATCACTATGGCCATGAAACTATTTCCCTCCTGGAGGAGGGGGTGAAGGGTGGGAGGGGGGATGTCATTCCATCATGCGAAGATCAGTCACACTTTCAACCTTGTGAAGAACTGCACTTCCAGATTTAGTATCTGCTTTTGGCACCAAACCATTTGAAAGTGTCTCTACTCCACTGCGAAGGTCAGAAGTGTGGGTGATGAGTCCCCTGATAATCCAGCACAGACTTTTCCCTTGAAGGCCAAGACCTCTGATAAAAGGGCAGGATTGCAAGTCAGGAGGTGAGAAACTGATGGAGATGTTCCTAGCAGCCTGAAAAGGGTGCCTCATTTCTGCATGTCTGCGTGGGGCTGCTGGAAGAGTAACACCATCTTATCTTTAAGGAGTGGAGTGAGCATCACTCTCTTAATGTCTGAGAAGTTTGTAGGCACATTTAATGGTACTTTTTTTTTTTCTGGAATAACCTGGGGTTAGGTTAGTTTTGTCTTTTTCTCCTGTGCATTGCTGTGTGAGCAGAGCTGCTTTTTGGTTTGTGAACCACACTGGGGAAATAGAAATAGTCTGGGTTAAGGGGCGAAAAAAGGGATAGAAAAGATTTTGATAGGATTATTTCAGGGTGGATCAGTTCCCTGGGCCATCTGCAGTGCAGATGCACAAGTAGCTTGTTCCAGCACAAGGCAGGTATTGGCAAGGAGGAGACATGTAGTGAGTGATACCTTGAGCTCCTATTGCTGTCAAGAGCATGTTGTTGAACCAGACCCAGATACTCTTGGCCTGGTGTGTGCATCGAGAATGACTCGGTATCACCAGTTCATGTTCTTCTGCTTTGAAAGGAAAGCTTGAATCCAGTGGAACTTCAGCCCACATTCATTATTTGTTTTATTACTGTTTTTTCCAGATTGCCCGACAGGAAGGAAGAGTCATTTTAACCTCTGGACTCCCATATCAGACTGTAAGTGTTTCGAGCTTCTGGCATTTTTCTGGCATTGTATCATTGCATGGTCTGGGATGGGCGGTGTAGAGAAGAGGAAAAGTCAGATGTGAGTGTGACAGCTGGTTTGGCTTTTTCATGTTTTCTGTACTAAAAAATACATTAAGGGTCTTGAGAGGTTTGATGTTCCGAATGGCCAAAGCTCGGGGGGGAATATTTCTTGTGCTCAGTCTTGCCTCAGTGGGGAGAGTGGTTGCCCTCCACTGGGGCAGGGGTGGAAATCATGCCAAGCAATCCAGAACAAAGTGTTTCTGTTTGGCCTCACTGGCAGGTGAAAGGCAGCTCAATTCCCATGCTTTTTATCACAGAGATTCTTGTTTGCTGACTGGCTCCGCACTGACATAGTTTCAGTACTTAAAGACGTTTCTTCAGGCTTGGAAGGGAGGGAATGGAAGCACCAGGCATGGATCCGGATGGAAGCTGGAGAGGGTTTGTGTTCCTGTAAATACAAAAAAAGCCCCAAAGCAAAACCCACCCTTTCCCTCAGCAATAGATGTTCAGAGCCCTTCATGAGACACAGTTCAGACCCGACTGCTGGTGGGAGTATGTGGAACCCGTCAAGTCAGTGGTTGCAACATGATGATGCCTGCTGCAGCTCCTTTGCTCTTTCACTACCCAGAAATTCACTTGGAAGAGAGCAACTCTTCTGGGTTACACACGAGGTGTATCCCAGCTACTCAAGTAGCTTGTTGGAGTGTTTGTAGAATATAGGTTGCTAATTTCTTACATAATACCTGAGCATCAAAAACTCCCCCCATGGTGAGACACTGTGAGGCAAGTGCAGCCCTGCCATGCTACAGGTTCCTTAGCCAGGCTCGTTCCTTGAGCCTACAGTTGATGTAATAGGTAATTCAGCACCCAGCATAATCTTACTTGGCAAAGCCTTAACTTCAAAATACTGCATAGGGATTGCAGAAGGAAAACAACTGTTTCCCAGGGTACGATGCTTTCCTGGGGAATGTCTGCTTCCCTTTCTTCCTTTGCCTTTGTATGCCCTATGCAAGGACTGAATGGCTCTGTGGCTTCCTTTACTTGAGTGTAGCTGATCCCACCTCTCTGAGAGTGCTCATTCTGTTCATAAAGATGTGTCTGAAACTTCCCAATGCTTGTTCCCAAACACAAACTTCTCTGCTAAATGTGAAGCAAACATTGAGAAACTGCACATCAGTGGCTGCAAATTCATCAGTCATCAGTGAACTCCTGGTTGAAGTGGTAAAGCTGTCACTGGACATCATGTCCCTCAGGCCAGTCCAGAGGAGGCCACAGAGATGCTCCGGGGTTTGGAGCAGCTCTGCTCTGGAGCCAGGCTGAGAGAGCAGGGCTGGGGCAGCCTGGAGAAGAGAAGGCTCCTGAAGGGGAGACCTGAGAGCAGCTCCAGTGCCTGAAGGGGCTGCAGGAAAGCTGGAGAGGGGCTTGGGACAAGGGATGTAGGGACAGGCCAAGGGGAATGGCTTTAACCTGCCAGAGGGGAGACTGAGATGAGCCCTTAGGCAGAAGCTCTTCCCTGTGAGGGTGCTGAGGCACTGGCACAGGGTGCCCAGAGAAGCTGTGGCTGCCCCATCCCTGGCAGTGTTCAAGGCCAGGTTGGACACAGGGGCTTGGAGCAAGCTGCTCTAGTGGAAGGGGTCCCTGCCCGTGGCAGGGGTTGGAACTGGATGAGCTTTAAGATCCCTTCCAGCCCAAACCATTCCATGATTCTACGATTACGCTTTTGCACACTGTGTGTGATCTGGCCAAGTTCCATGTGAAAGCTGTGTTTAAATTCAGTTTCCTCTTGCTACCCCTGTCAGCACCACACCACCACATCATAACTTGAAGGGGACTTGGGCAATCATGTTTCATATATATATAAAATACAGCAGTGCTTCGGTAGTCTCGGAGCTATTGCAGCAGTGGCTTAGTGTTATATTGCCAGTTGTGCTTGTTAGATCAACATTTAGACTGTAAACACATCCTAACTTTAATTATTTGTAATTAAAACCAAACCAATTGTCTTATAACCACCCCCCCTCCCCAGATCTCCATGTCTGGAGTGCATCATTTATTGTCTTTTTTGGTTTTGCCTTCTCTCTTGAAGCTGCAGTCCCAGGTAGCAGAAGGAAGGTGTTTCTCAGTGAACAGCTCAGAAAAGGCAAAAGAACAGGCCCTGCGGGTTCTGAAGCACTTCAATGTTCAAGTATCCCTCTCGGATATCTTCAGCCGCTGCCAGGTAGGACAAGGCTTGTTTGAGTTAAAGTTCATGCTTGTTCCATTCCTCAGCTTTTTGGGTCTTGCACTCAGTGTCTTCCACTTGGTTCCCAAGATTTCTGCTTGAACTTTGGCAACATCTTGCATTACTGTGAGGAGTTCTGGGTGTTCTGGTGCCCCTCGGGAGCGGGGATGGGTATGTCAGGAGAGCAGAGGCACTCTGCTACGAGCTTCGCTGCTTTTCTGATTTTTGGTACTTGGCATGTGTTTTGGCAGAGTATCGTGGTCCTAGTCTCTTTGTTGCTGTGTTCCCTGTCTAGGACACATGCTGTTTTAATTATAAAGCATGTTTAATTATGGCCCTGTGATTCTGATAACACTTAATTACTTTAATAGGAGGATTTGGTTTTAGGACTGTAATTTTTTTGCAGAAGCTGCTAGGTTCATTCATGTCCATGCTGGTCGATGGCTCCAGATCGTGTTTGGCACTGGGTATCTCTGCATTGTTGTTAAGGAGAAATTTTAATAGCGTTAGCTCAAATCTCCATCTCGTCCAGTTTCACTCCTGTGTTTGTTACAGTAACACGCTGAAACTTATCCTTTCCAAAACTGTAATAGAGCCCAACTTGCAGCTTCAACATCTCTCATCTTATCAGTGCTTAAAGAGAGAAAAAGAAGAAACTGCAAATCTGGCTGGAAAAGGAGCTTTCTCTTAGGAATAAACAAGCGAGCTGAGCACTTGAGGGAAGCCTGGCTCAGTGCCTTGTGGTCGAGCTCACGGGGTCTTCTGGCCTGGTGGAACTGCACAAGTGGTGTAGGAATAGCAATGACTCCAGAGCAGACGCTCCACAGAGCATTTTCTAGACCTCTGTTCATATCTGGTGTCAGTCCTTGAAACTCCATCTGTAATTTATAGAGAGCATGAGAGTTGTCCACCTGTGTGGGGTGTCTGTAAGAGGAGGATGGTGTAGCACCATGCAGATTAGATCGGTGTATAGCGGGTTGGTCTTCCTTCAGGATAAATGTGTATATTCAGAGATAAGATACTCTGTTCAGTCTTGTAGCTTTATTGTGCCAAGAACAGATTGCAGTTGTTAGAAAGTGGCACGCTGGCTTCTTTGCTATTTTAAAGAAACCTTTAAGAAACGTCATGGATTCTCCGGGTCCCTGAGATCCTATAAAATAGCAGTGTCCTTCCTGATGGGTGCTGAAATACCACAGGAATCAGCACACACAGAAAAACATGCTGCAGAAAACTGCGTGATACCTGTAAGAAATGCAGATGACTGCAACACACGATAGAAAAGTGACCTCTTGCCCATGATCTGGAGCATGGAACTGTTTAACTGTATGGCTTTTTAGTCCATGCTGTCTTATTTTACAATATAAATAGAGTAATGAGTCTGGCTAGGAATATATACGAAGTGTTCCCTTACTTCCAGAAGAAATGCCTTCCCTGTAAATTGTGGTGGTGGAACAGCTGCGTGTTTTATACCATTAGCCATGGGAAGATACTACTATTTGTCAAACAGCTCTGGGTTCTGAATCCTGTATTTACCTACATTTGGTCTGTGGCATTTTGAACTGGTTTTGTCCAGATGTCCCCTACAGACTGTGCGAGTTTCACATTGCTGTTGCTCTCAAGGACAGTCCAAGCTCTCGAGCTGTGTGTGGTGCCCGGTGCTGTAGCTCCTGTTGTGTCTGTGTAGGGAGCAGTGGGCAGCAGGGTGCAAAAGATCTCAGTGCAAAACTGCAGAGGATTGACTGCCCTCGTCAAAACTGGCCAATTTCTGCTTTCAAGAGGGTGCTCTGGGGCCACTGTGGCCATCAGAGGCCTCAGCACTTCTTTTGTAAGCTCTCCCTGAAACATTGTCTGTAAACCCGGCTGGGAGCTGCTCCAGCCCCGCATCATCCTCATGGCCTCCTCTGGACTTGCTGCAGCAGCTCCATGTCTTCTGATGCTGAGGACACCGGCTCAGCAGAAGGAGGCCGGGTGATAGTGATCCATAACCTGGGCCATTCCCTCCTTCCTCACCCCTATGGAGCTCGGCCGGTGTCTGACCCTGGGGCCCAGCAGCCAGGGACAGCGCTGCGGTGCTCACCAGGCGCTGGGCTGGGTTATCGGCGCGATCATCCCTTGTAGATAAGGGTTTTCTGTGTGTCACAGGAAGCAATGTGGCATCCTGCCTGACTCTCTCTGTCTCGTGGAGCAAGGGCTTGTTTTGTCTCTTGGGCTTCTACTCTGTAAATGATTTGAGTGAATATGTCAGCAAATATTGTTGCTGTAACAATTAATGCGTGTAGCGCAGAGCACATGGTAAAAATAGGTCCCAATACAATGTTGTACCCAAGATTGCTGTTAAATGTTTCCTCTGTCAGGTTCCTCAGCAGGGATGAACAGTCTCTCGATTGCTGATATAAAGAATGGCCTTGCTTTGTAACCCTGCCAAAATACTGCCTTTGTCTGTTAAAACAATGGCAAATACCAGTTATTTCTGTCTGACTCAGAGCATCAAGTGCACGGAGAGCTTCACCCGGGGCTTCTCAGCATTTCTGCTCTCAGAAATAGGCTTTGACGTGGTCGCTTGGTTAAAGGCCCCAGCAGTGGAGGCTGCTGCTGGCTGTGGCCTGCCAAGTGTGATCTTCTCTTTGCATGTGTCTCTCAAGTGCTGCGTTTAAGACTGGTGGCCATGGAGAAGTTACCGGTGCACAGAAGCTTTAGCTGGGTCTGGTGTTGCCTTCAGTGAGGAACATGTTAGAGGGGCTGAGTGAAAATAAGGTGAATTCTGTCTTTTGGTGACATGCAAGAGACCCCCCACCAAGAAGTGCTACATTTCATAGCCTTAAAATATTTGAAATGAACCCATTGCCTCTATTTGAAATGCAAATGTCTTTTGTCTGTCTCCTCTGCATGCATTTGAATGTCTAGTATACAGCTTTTCTTTCTTCTTTTCAGATATCCAAAAGTAGCTCCTTCAGAAAGAGGTGATGTGAAATACATGCTGGAGGGTGTCCTTACATGATAAATTCAGCACTTTGGTCCTTTACACTAGTCAGGAAGAGCTTTGTGGAGCTGTCAGGAGCTGCTGTAGGCAGCCCTAGGGCAGCCAGCAAAGTGGCTGGAATGAAAGATCAGTGATCTTTCAGCTGTTGGAAACTTGGAGGAAGTTCTGACACAGAACTTGCATTTAAGAAAGAACAAACCCCAGACCTGCTGAAAATGACCTACTGTATGGTATGTTGACAGTTACAGACACTGACATCCGATATCGGGGTTATTTTGTAGAGGGTTTGAAACTTAGGCTCCTCTCACAGGTCTGTCCATCTGAGCAGGAGCTTCTCTCCCAGCACTCTTGGTGCTGCTGCCACTCTTGCTCAGATGTGGTGTCTGAGAATGGGGCATGTTTGATGCCTGGGTATGGCCTGGTAGTGCAGGAGGAAGACTGGAGCTCCAGTCCAGTGTTGTAAGGAAACTCGAAATTAGGAACGCCATGGAGATGCTGCGAGGGCTGGAGCAGCTCTGCTCTGGAGCCAGGCTGAGAGAGCTGGGCTGGGGCAGCCTGGAGAAGAGAAGGCTCCTGAAGGGGAGACCTGAGAGCAGCTCCAGTGCCTGAAGGGGCTCCAGGAAAGCTGGAGAGGGGCTTGGGACAAGGGATGTAGGGACAGGCCAAGGGGAATGGCTTTAACCTGCCCGAGGGGAGACTGAGATGAGCTCTTAGGCAGAAGCTCTTCCCTGTGAGGGTGCTGAGGCGCTGGCACAGGGTGCCCAGAGAAGCTGTGGCTGCCCCATCCCTGGCAGTGTTCAAGGCCAGGTTGGACACAGGGGCTTGGAGCAAGCTGCTCTAGTGGAAGGTGTCCCTGCCTGTGGCAGGGGTTGGAGCTGGATGAGCTTTAAGGTCCCTTCCAACCCAAACCAGTCTGGAATTCTATGCTGATTCTGTTTTGGCAGATATTACCTGAGTGACTGGCTTGGCTTTTTCCATCTGGCTTTTCCATGCAAGCACGGTCCATCTGAAGCCCATGTGACAGCACCACTGACCTGTCGCTGTGAGCGATGCCTCTCTGGACTGCTTTTTCTCGGGCAGCCCAAGGTACCCAGGACGTTTTCCTTCCCTTGGCTGGGGTCTGCTGTCTGGCCCAGCCGACTGCTTGTCACTGGGAAAACACTGAAGATAAGCTCAGGCAAGGGGCTGGCAGGGCTCAGCTGTGAGAAATGCTGCTCTGAGCGGCACAGGCAGGGTGAAGTTAGGCTTTGAGTACTGATAAACTGAGGAGATAAACAGTGCAAGTTGTTAGCTTTAAATCTGTGCATCACAAGTGTTAGTCCTGACGGGCTGAAGGGAAAGCCGTGTGTTCAGTGTTGTACAGGATGGCTGAGAAATTGCCCCTCTTCTAGAAGAACCTTGTCATTAAAGGTTGGGAACTCTGCAGTAGAATCCTTGCTGGTCTGGGGCTCTGCAGACAGCCTTGGAGCGTGCCTGCCTTCCACAAAGCTGGCTTGTGCTTTACTTGAAAGTGTAACTGCTGCTCAGCTCAGTTTTGAGCCCAGAGCTTTGCTCTTTGGCAGGGAGGCAGCAGGCTGGGAGACCTGGATCCCGCGGTGGGGCCATGCCACCTTCTTGCCTCCCTTTGGGCCTCTCCTTCCTTTCCCACCCTCTGTTTGACTTGACCCTTTAACCTTTCTGCTGTCTGGGGCAGGGACCCTGTTTGAACAATACCTAATGCAATGGGAGGCTGATCCCAGGTGAGGTTTCAAGGCTTTCCTGCAAGGAAGAATGCAGTTATATCCCCTGCAAAAATAAATGTGCAGGGAGGAAAGAACCATCCCAGACTCCAGCTGCAGTTTCTGCAGCTGAACAGCTCTGCATTTATTATGGGATTATCTCCAAATTCAAACAGGTTGTCTCTTCCACTTCACTGAATGCTCTGATCCTAAATAAGCAAATTACATCACCTATTCTGATGTCCTGTTTAACTTATGACCTCAGCCTGAGCGCCGCAGGATGTGAGAGATAGCTGCTT